TTGTTGTTGTTGTTTTTCTTTTTTTCCAGTCAAAGATAAAATCATGGAACGTTTAGGTTTGGAGCATGGCTATACACCGATACCAAAACATCGTGATCACTTACTGAAATATGAACCAAAAGCATCTGATCTCGAACCACGTTCTATGCAAGATTCCTTCACCTCCGCCATTTTACCACTGTCCACAGACAAAGCACTGCAAGATCGCTATGTTGCATTCTTGGGTCATGTCCGCCTCGGCCGTTTAATGGAAGATATGGATATGTTTGCCGTTTGGGTATGTCATCAACATGTTAAATTGAATAATCTTCCCGAGGGTGTACCACTGCCATATACCTTTGTCACAATATTGGTGGACAAGATTACATTTACCAATTTCCGAACCAAGGCAACTGAAGATATACGCCTCTCTGGCCATGTATCGTGGGTGGGTAAAAGTTCCATGGAAATTGTTGTGTGGCTGGAACAAATGGAAAATGGTGTGTGGCATAAAATCACCAGGGCTTTGTTCTTGATGGTTGCCCGCAATGCCACCAATACTGGACCGGCTCCAGTTAATCCCATTAAACCGGCCACCGAAGAAGAAAAGGCGATAATGGATGGTGGGAATATGCGTAAACAGCGAAGGCAATTACTGCAGGCCTCTTCGATTTTTAAAGTGGAACCCAATGACTATGAACAATCGCTGATGTATGAACTATTCAAGAGGACAACACCACAAACTACGATGGAGTTAAATTTACGTGTCCTGCCACCAAATTGCCGCTGGATGTCCGAGTCGTTTGTCACAAATACCTTTGCCTCATTTCCGGAAAATCGTAATGCTCACAATAAGGTTTTCGGTGGTTTCTTGATGCGCAACGCCTTGGAAATCAGTTGGGTATGCGCCAATATCTATTGTAAAACAGCCAAACCAAAAATTGAACACATTTGTGATATTAGTTTTGAAAAGCCCGTCAGTGTAAATTCTTTCATTAAAATGAACGCCTATGTTGTCTATACCGAAGTGAATTATTTGCAAATAATGACTGTGGCGGATATTATTGATTCGGTAACGGGCGATCAATTGACCTCAAATGTTTTCTATTATACATATTCGGCATCGGAACAGGTGCCAGAGGTATTGCCAAGATCCTATCATGAAACTATGTGGTATATTCAGGGACGCAGGAAATTCAAATATGCCTTGAGTTTGGAATAAAACCGACTGAATGCTACAAATCTCCAGCAACTAGAAACTGATTTAAAATCATAGAATACATATAGTGAAGATATTAAAGAGACTACTAACTAATATACATACATATACTGTACTGTCCATACTACCTTCTTGCCATGGTGAAATATTTTACCTTGACTCAATGAAGGTATTGTTAGGCAGTGAAAGGGAAAATTAATCCTTCACCCCTCTCACATTCAAACATAGAGTAAACATAACTATTTTAAATCAGTACCCATATTCGAATTTAGTCATATATTTTTTTCTAATTTCTCAGAATCCTATTACCGATTATTGTATTTGTAGATTAACGAATTTTGATATTGGCTGTTTATTTTCTAATCGATATTGTACCTTATATATACATATGGTTATCTATGTATTTTTTCACATTGGCTATGTTAAGTTTAAAGTATTTTTTTTATATAGTCTAACTTTTTTGTGCAATATAGTTTTATTATCCCCATCGATGTTGTTGCTATTGTTACGAATAATAAAAAATCATAACAAAAAGGAATGGAGTTTTATTTTAGGTACAAAAAAAAAAAAAAAAAGAGATGAAGGGGGAGCCTGTAGAATCGAGCTGAAGGCTGTCTTTATAGACGAGCTGAAGGGAGGTCTCCTTTAGAAGATCTTTTGAAATGGTCTTCTGTATCGAAGACCTATTGAAAAAGTCTCCTGGATTTTTTAAAGAATAGTTTTTTAAGCACCAACAGAAGGCGTGGATTTTTAAAGAATATTTTTTGAAAGACCAACAGAAGGCGTGGATTTTTAAAGAATATTTTTTAAGGACCAACCGAAGTCGTGGATTTCTAAAGAATATTTTTTTAAGGACCAACAGAAGGCGTGGATTTTTAAAGAATAGTTTTTGAACGACCAACAGAAGTCGTGGATTTTTAAAGAATAGTTTTTGAACGACCAACAGAAGTCGTGGATTTTAATGAATATTTTTTTAAGGACCAACAGAAGTCGTGGATTTTTAAAAATAGTTTTTGAACGACTAACAGAAGTCGTGGATTTTTAAAGAATAGTTTTTGAACGACCAACAGAAGTCGTGGATTTTTAAAGAAAGGATTCTTAATAGAAGAGTTGAAGGGAAGTCGCCTATTGAAGAACTTTTAGAAATATCTTCTGTGTTTAAAGGACCTATTGAAGACCTTTCGGACTTTCTGCCTATAGAAGACCTGTTGGAAAGGTCATCCCTCTATAGAATGCCTGTTGAAAAGTTATTCCGTCTATAGAATTTTTTTTCTTAAGGACCAACAGAAGGCGTGGATTTTTAAAGAATATTTTTTTTAAGTACAAACAGAAGACTTCGATTTAGAAAGAATATTTTTTAAGGACCAACAGAAGGCGTGTATCTATATACTAAGAAAAGATTAAATTGATTGACTGACTGATTTAACGATTCATCTACACCCAGACGAAACGGCTGAAGCTATAATCTTGAAATTTTGGGTGAAGGTCACTCTTGGTTCAAAGGTGGCAGATAAGGGTGGGTTTTTGGTCCTAGAACGTTCGAACTGTAAGTATCCGAAAAGTACTAAAATTTACTACATTTTGTACAATTTCGTAGCATGTGAATCGATGGAGCTAAAAACTTGAAAATTGGAAAGCGAATTAGGGTTGGGAAGTAGGATCTATTTAAGTAGATGATTTTGAAAGTGTATGCTCATGTGTACGAAAAGTACTATACGGTACTATTATTTGGTGCAAATTTATTTTGGAGGTACAAATCGAGCTGGAATACTGAAATTTATCATTACCGTTAGAGTGTAGGATTGGGATATATACGTAGTTTTGGAAATTTTTTACTGATTTGTACGAAAAGTACTAAATCGTACAATAATTGGTACAATTTGGGTGAACCGATAGAGCTGGAACAATGAAATGTGGAGTCAGGATTACTTTTGGGGTGTAGAATTGGGGTCAGGATTCAGTTAAAGAAATTAATTTTTATGGGTACTAAATTTGATACAATTTAAATTTTTAGTGGACCGATGGAGCTGTAATCCTGAAATATGTAGTTAGGATCACGGTTGGGGTGTGAGATTGAGATATGTAGAAAGTTTTGGAAATTTGTACTTATGTGTACTAAAGTTTGGTACAATTTAAATTGTGTTTTAAGCGATAGAGTTGGAATCCTGAAACATGGATTTGGATTACTGCGAGGGTGTCGGTTTGGCTTAAGTAAGAAGTTTTGGAAATTCGTACTACTGTGTACTAAATTTGGTACAATTTGAACTGTGGATGAACCTATAAAGTTGGAATTCTGAAACTTGGAATTGATAGGGGGTGTAGGTTTGTGTTATGTAATAGGTTTTGGAAATTCGTACTACGGTGTACTAAATTTAGTACAATTTGTATTGTGGATGAACCGATAGAGTTGGAATCCTGACACATGGATTTAGAATGACTGTTTTCGAAATTTGTACTAATGTGTACTAAATTTGGTACAATTTAAATGGTGGGTGAAGCAATAGAGTTGAAATCCTGAAATTTGGAGTCAAGTTCATTGTGGGGGTGTAGGTTTGTGTCAAGTAGAAGGTTTTGGAAATTCGTACTGCGGTGTACTAAATTTGGTACAATTTGAATTGTTGGTGAACCAATAGAGTGGGAATCCTGAAATTTGAATTTGGAATCATTGTGAGGGTGTAGGATCGGGGTATGCAGGACGTTTTGTTGGAACTAAATTTGGATTTGGGTAAAACTTTAGAGCATGATTTGAAGTGGTGTATCGTATTGAAGACCCTTTGCAATACTGGAAGGGTCTTCGGTCTATAGACCACATTTTAGAAAGCTCTTCTGGGTATAGAAGTCATTTTTGGAAGGATCTTTGCCTATAGAAGACCCTTTGTAGAGTTATTCTGTCTATAGAAGTCCTTTCTACCGGATTCCAATCTGCGTTTACAATGCCTTTATATACATCTTTTGTAAAGGTTATCTGTCTATAGAATACATTTTAGAAATGTGTTTTGCTCACAGAAAACCTTTTGGAAGTATATTCTTTCTCTAGAAGGCATTTTGGAAAATTCTTCTCTTTATAGATATTTTGCTAATGCCTTCTTCTTAAGAAAGCCTTTTAAAAAAGGCCGTTCGTCTATGGAAAAACTGTTGGTAATCCTTTCTGTCTGTAGAAGGCCTGCTTGAAAAAGTCTTCTGTCTATAGAAGACCTATTGGAAAGATCTTCTCTCTATATAAGACAGTCTGGAAAGGTCTTATTTTTATAGATGGCCCTTCTGTCCGTAGGTCTGTTTAAAAGGTCTTAGGTCTATAGAAGACCTATTGGAACGGTATTTGTCTATAGAAGACCTGTTGGAAAGATCTTCTCTCTATTTAAGACAGTCTGGAAGGTCTTTTTATAGATGACCTTTTGGAAAATTATTCCCTATGAACAAGACCTTTGTTTCTTCTGAAGACCTATTGGAAAGGTTTTACTTTTATACATACTCTTTTTCTGTCTTAAAATACCTTTTTGGACAGGTCTTCGGATTGTAGAAGACATTTTGGAAGTGTTTTCAAATAATCCCAAATCTAAGAATTCTCTAAAATGATCTGAAAATTATTTTCTGAAATCCCCACAGTAAAAAATAATACAAACAAAATTTTCAATTTTTTTTGGTAATTTTTGTAAAACTTCTCTTCATTTTACAAAATAGATTTTCATGTCCATTTTATTTTTTTACTTGGTAAAATTACAATAAAAAAGAATCAACTTTTTTTCCTTCTTTCGCATCCGAAGAAATACCTCCTTCTCTCCTCCACACTTAACGGCGACGACATTCTAAATCTAAAACATTTAGAATCTCATGCGGTGAGGATATTGAGATGAGTGCAAAGCAAACATGCTCTTCAAGTATTTGGCGACAAATTTACCATCGGCATGAGCCTTGATAGCCTTGAGGACAGCGGTGTCGACTTCCTTTTGGTCCTTCTTGCGTTGTTCGTTGGGCACGAAACGTTCCTTCTTGGTGGCAAAGATATCACCTTCGGCGGATTTCTTTTGCTTGTTGAGCTTCAAGCGGCGGAAGTAGGCATCATCCAAAGTTTCGGGAACTTTGTAGTCACCCAAGTCAATGCGGGTAGAGGTGCCGATAACATAGCGTTGAGAAACGCGACGCAATGGGCAGGAGTTCAAGCAGAATGGACCGGTGACCAACAACAATCCAGAGCTCAAAGATTTCAACAAGACGACGCGTTTGCCTTGGTGACGGCCGGCCAACAAGATGAGGACGGTGCCGGGCTTAAGGTTGGAACGGACCTTGCGTTGGTGCTTGCTGAAGACATTCTTGGCGGGACGCTTCTTGACGAAACGCTTGGTGGGGTAGTTGGCCTTGGGCTTTTGAACGTAGACGGTACGTTCACCACCGTTCTTGGGGCCACCGATTTTCTTGACTTTCTTGATGTCCTTCTTCAGGGTCTTGACGACTGGACGCTTGGTACCCTTCAAACGCCATTGAGCACGGCGTTTGTACATCTAGAAGAAAATGAAATTAAGCAAATTAGAAAAGCTGTCCAAAGTCGTAAAAATAAACAAAAGGTTGGAAGAGTAAAGATGTAAACAAAACAAATGTGATGATGGTGGGGGGAACAAAGCAGAAAATTCAAAATATTTTCACAAATTCACACAATATGGATTCCAATAAACACTAATAGCTGGGAATTTTGGATGGATGCTTTTTCATTAACTCAAAATACGCATTTTAATTTCCAAATCTGGGTTTACACAGATCTTTTTCAGTTCGCATACACATCATACAATTAGCACATGCCCACAATTGTACACAATAAATATTTATCAACACAAGATTCCTTCCCGAAATCTATTTTCCATTAAATTTCCATAATTATTTATTTGTTCTTCATATTTTCCACATTTTCTTGCTTTGTTTCACGAAACACACACACACACATGCACACAAACGCTTCGCTCAGCGAACTTCCGTCGGCACCATCATCACATACATCTCGAGTTGGAGCAGGACTCGAAAGGAGTCACTTTTTCGAGGATATTTCAAGGATTATTACCTGGCTCTTGGAGTAACGCAAAACACCGCCATGGAGGTAGGTGTTCAAGGGATGTTTAGCAACTTTCTTGCCCGATTTATCGGTTTTCTTAGCTTTTTCGACGGGTGCCATATCGGAAAACACGTGTACACCGCACAGAAATTATGGTAAAAAGGAAGGTTAGGTACAACGGCGTTGCCAGATAAAATATATGACAGCCCAATGACAGTTGTCGTACAGCATTGCCAAATTGAACAGGGAACGTTGTGTTCTTATGCGCCATACGCTGTGTGATGTGCATATGGGGGTGATACTTTAATTATGACGTACGCTTGCCATTGTCATTTAAAGAAAAACAATTTTGTTTTTATTTATTCTGACATTATAGCCCATAACGTAGAGGTGCATTTTTTAAATTAATAAAATTAAAGCAACAAATTGAAAGGTTAATAAATGCCGCTTAACTTTTTCAAAAATAAAAAAAACTTTTTCAATAAAAAAAAACATTTTTGCATAATTCATTGTAAAATAAATAATAATTTATGGATAAGGGAATGGTCTCAATTATTAATTGGACAAAACTAAAGCAACTCTACAGTAACAACATATATTATAATTACTACAGTCGACTCCGCTTTAACTTAACAGAAAAATATCGGATAAGTGAAATTGATTTCCTGCACCATTACATTTTAGGTTAATCGCTCACATTTTACACCGCATAAGTGAAACTTCGTATAACTGAAAATATCGGATAACTGAAATAGCTTTTGGAGTCAAATATTGCAATTTCCTTTCAAATCACTCCGCATTATTGAATTTCGTGAGAATGAAGGATAATGACAGAATATTTTGCATTGAGGAATATACATCTTCAAAGCTCACCCTAACAGATATTTTTTTGCAAAATATGTTACAGAATGTACTGTTCATAGGAGAAATGTCAATGCCCGATTAGAGGTCAACAACATTTCTTCCTTACAATGACATATTTTAAGAATATTACCAATATTCAATACAGACCTTGTGTTGTGATGTTAGGCTTATAATTGTAGCCTATAGCAATCTATAGGTTACAATTAGTATTGGTCCACTTTAACCCAACATTTTATCTGATCAACACCGAAAATTATAGGCGTTGTACTTGATCATAACTGAAACATCATGGAACATTTCAAAGCGATTAGCGCTATATTTCCGCCCTCTAGAGTGGTAATGGTTTACTAAATAATATCTGAATACGTAAGCACCTGCAATTTAAAGGTCAACCACTTCACTTGGATATATTATCAACTTCTCGGCTCTATATCCTTCAGGGGTAAATATATACGCTACAGAATACAAATGTAATTTTTCACACAAAAGTCAGGGTCCATTTGATCGGCTAAATATTGACCGATCTTTATCAAAACAGGGCCCGATTCCCGTCTCGATGTAATAATTCGTGATGTTTGGACCATAATTGCAGCCTCTGGTGCGACCAGAAAATCAGACAAAAATGAAGTTTTTGTTCCATTTCATCCCCTAAATATTAACCGATCTTTACCAAAAACAATAGGGGTCTTCATTGACCAGAACCCATCCTTCATGCAAAATTTCGTGAAGATTGGTTCATAACTGTGGTTGTATCGTGTTTACACATTATAATGGACAGACGGACGGACACACATGTCTAGATCGACTCATATAGTCGAGATATTACGATCGGGGCTTAGGGCTGCACAAAGCTATTATACCATGACAACATAGTTGTGTGTGACCTTGTCAACCAGTTTCAATTTCTTTCGTCTATTTTCCATAAAATTCGATACCTACGAATTCTATATAAAATATGAATTATTGAAATTCCTAAAACTGAAAAAATATTCGCTTAAGTGAAAACATCGGATAACTGAAATAAACATCCAGACTTTTTCCATTTCAGTAAAGCGGAGTCTACTGTATGTTCTAGTTTCTACATGGTATAATAATAGAAGGTAACAGCAAGTGTTGTTGTACAAAAAACGATACAACAACCACATGGAAATTTGTTGTTGTAAGTTCTACTAGTGTCAACTCATTTGACAGAAAAATGTAAACAAACAAACAAATTATCATGAAATTATTTTTATTTTGAAAATGAAAATTTTCGAATCCTCAAAATAAAAATTGAAAAACATGAATGAAAATGTATCAAATTTATATTTCTATCGCTTCCACATCTTTCCTATAATTGAGCCATTGCCATATATATGTGTAACGCATATGGAAATGCTGGGAATAGCGAGTTATTCCTTGAAGAAAGATTTGCTTCCTCAAACTTTCCCAGCAGACAGATTGAGTAAATTGAACACAAGAGCACATTTAATAAAGAACAATTTCAAATTGTATGCGTTCCCAATTTTCCTGTTGGGTGATTTTTAAAAACATAATTTGTCAAATTCATATTGACACTAGTATTACGTTGGAATCAAATCAGCTGGGATTTGCTGTTACCTTTTATAAGTGTACCATGTAGTTTCTACAGCATTTTCGATTCTAATAGTCCCAATTTAGATTAGGCGAGTTTACTTGCAGCAAGTCTTTGGTTACAGGAGAGAGGGGCAAGGGGAATAGAAATGGAAAAAATTGCTCGTACCGACAATTTTCTGTCAATTCGTTTTGTGTATTTTGTTTGTAGTGTCATTTCAGAAAAAAAGTAATTCAATACAGAAAATATATGTTTGCAACCGAATTGCCTTGTATAGAGGCATGAAGCAAGTTTAAAAGAGAACAATAAAAATTACCGCAAGTAAACTCGCCAAATATAAATCAGGACATAGATTGTAAAGAACATCAGTTCGTGCTGATAAACAAATTGTCATAGCAGTAAGAATTATATTTGACGTATATGCTACGGAATTGACATTTGAGATCCAATGTATTTCATAAATCTAAACGCGCCTTAAGTTATAAAAAGTGACACTTCGGTTGGGTTTGTATGATTAAAAAAGTAAAATTGAATTTTTCATAAAAATATAATTTCAAAGTTCGTTTGGCGTGATCTATTTTATTAATATAATAGAGTAACCCTTAATTTACACATTAATAGGTTTTTACCTATATTCATTTATTCCTACTATGGGAAAGTGTTTTTGAGAAAAATTAAAAGAAATAATAATCTTAATGTATACGTAATCATAATCTTAATGTATACTAATTTAAACAGCTACAATGTTGAACCTCGATTTTAAAATCCAGTCAATAAAAAATCATAACATTAATGTAACATTAATTAGTAACTGCTATACAGATCAACCTATTATTGTTTTAAATAAAAATTGTCAATTCATACGTTTTTGTTTTCATATATTAACGTCTTACGTTGCGCAAAGTTACTAGGCATTGTATTTATGTGGTGCGTATGAAGTGACAAAGTTTTTCATATTATTTCACATATGGCAATGCTAGGTGAAGCTGTGTTCAATATGTTTATCTATAAGTATAGGGATTGCAGTGCCAGTTGTCATAAATAATATTTGCAGGTTTGCCCTTCAACATATGGTAATAGTTCTTGTTACCGGGTTAGCCTACTATATGAGAATTTATTCGACATATATACAATGGAATTGGCAATTTAAACCCACTGGGTTAACGAAATCCGGTATAATGAAAACGTACTATAAGTCGCAAGTTTTATGGAAATTTATTTGAAAGTTGATGACAACTTATACGAAGTTTAAATGCAATATATATTGCAAAAATGTACTACTAGACATTGCTGGTCATGGAGTAGAACTTTCATATAACTAAAAGAATGTTTTGATTATGTGCCTTACTTATCTCGATATTATTGCTTAATGCCATGTTCTGACGGGCATTCGAACAACGTAGTTCGCTCTCAGAATTACGTACATGAATTAACCCGTTCATACAACACTATTCCTAATTCATGTCATCAGAGTTTTTTTATTTCAAACTTTTTGTTTCTTGTTTTACGCCAAAATTCTAACATATTTACATGAATCACATATGGATCTAAATAGAAAAATTAATTCTCTTTCTACTGACTATAGTATGAACCCATATCTATTTACTTTTAATTCATGTTTTCCATTTTTCTGAAAATTTTGTTGTTTTCATGCATTTTTATATTTTCTAAATTCAAATGTCACATATAAAAATTTGGAGAATTTTTTTGTTTGAGTGTCCCCAAATTTGTTTCTTGTTTTGTACGCTAATTAGAACCATGGGGAAAGAAATTCACATTGCATTATGTAGATAACAAAATCTACATCCTGCTACATATATTTCATTCATCATTTTCAATATTACTAAAAATGTTTGAAAATTTTATAAATATTTTCAAGTTGTCAAAATTAATTTATTTTCGATAAATGCTCTCAGTTGTTAGGGATGGGACAAATTTCTTGGTGATTCAGAGAGTGATTCGAATTGAACAACGTACAAAAGTCGGTGTTCGCTCAGACAATTTTGTATGGGGAACTAAGTAATTACTTCATAATTAAGGTTCGAACAACGAATGAGAGAGCGAACAACGCTCGTCTGTACATGGCATAATATAACTCAATTTTCCTCGAAAAAAAATTAATTATTAAAAAATAGTAAAAATTAATGGTACGTTTATATTTCCGAAATCCACTCGATCTCAAATGTCAATTCCATTGCTTATACGTCAAATATAATCCACTGGATTTGTGAACAGGATTAACGTAATGTATACGCAATGGAATTGATATTTGATATCGAGTGGATTTAGTAGTCTAAACGTAGCCTATATCATCTCATCTCGATTTCTTCGATATCCTATAATTCTAAATTGAACACTGATTTTGCATTATGGTGAGTTTAGACTACAGGTTTTATCGTGTTAAAGCACATAATCTTGATTTACTACCTAAGTCGGGATCGATTTACTATACAAAATTAAATCCACTCAATATCTTATGTTAAATCGAAATCTTATGCAAAATCGCGATCATGTCAAATATAACCCAACTTTTGCACCAAGAAAAATAATGAATGCTCTTTAAAGTATGTTACAAAATACGTTACAATTCAATATAATTGACTACAAAATATGGAAGCTGATAAAAATTAAGATTTTTTTAATGTAAAATAAATATTACTATAATTTAAAACAAGAAATATTTTTATGTAATCTCTGACTCGATGAGAAACGATTCCTATCAAAATTATGAAAAAATACC